TTTTTTTTTTTTTTTTTTTTTTTTTTTTTTTTTTTTTTTTTTTTTTTTTTTTTAAGAATTGGTTAAATTTTGTTTACCAAAGGTTGACGTGTAATTAAATTATTTAATTGATATATGTTAACATGTGACCATACCACTTGTATACCTCTCTTGAGAAATTAGAATAATAATAATAATTTAGTGATTTATTCACTGTTGTTATAAAAATATTAACCAAAGCTTATATGAAAGTTACCTAAACATTTAATGCATCAAGGATAAACTTGAGAATCCCAAAAAACAAACATTCTATATTTTGATTCCAAAAAGGACAAATTTTTTATTTTTCTAAATAAAACCACAGTAACTTCTTTTTTTTTTTTTTGTTTTTTTTTTTTTCAAACATAACCTACAGTTGACTTTAATTTAATGGTAAAATTTTAGGATAAAAATTGATTGTAAAATTGAAAAGAAAAGAAAAACAAAATGAAAAAAAAAAAAAAGAAAAGAAAAGAAAAGAGAAAGGCATCTTATACCTACCAATTAAGTAAAGATATTATATTTATATTTTAATTTGTCTTTTGCGAAAAAATAAAAATAAAAACATAGACGTAGAGATTCAAATCTCTGACTTTTATCGTGAAAAATTATATTTGACGTTTATGTCATCATTTTTTTTTTTTTAGAAGTAGGCGATTTAGCAGCTTCAATATAGTTCGAGTAATTAAGACATTATATTTTCGACTCAGAAAAAAATGAGGATTAATAAGAAATGAATTTAGTAAAAGAAGGGTTGATGCAATAATATTGGGAGGGGGGGATGTGTGGGGGTTAATAAATAGGAATTAAAGTAAGGAGTAGTGTTAGAGTGTTAGAGTTGGGTTGGGCCAATAAAAACAGTTAAACCCAATGGAAAGTGGCAGTAGCCACGTAGATTTCCCGGGAAAAAGCCTTACCTTTTACCTATGTTTTTTTTTTTTATGTTTTTTTTTTTATGTTTTGTTTTTTTTTTTTTTTTTGCCGGGAACATCCCCGCTGTCAAAATGTCTCTCTCCGTCTTCCTCTCCGTCTATTACAACCCCTCTTCTCCCTTTTACTCACCATGTTCCCTTAGTCTCTCTATTTCCTCTCTATTTCTCTCTGTCCCTATCTCTCTCTCTCTCTCTCTCTCTCCTCTCCAATTCCTTTCAGATCTCTTCCATTGATCCTCCAATGGAAGATCAACCCATTCCTCAGAGGACCCAACAATCATCTTCCAGGCCTTCTCCTTCTCCTTCTTCTTCCTCCAATTCCTCATCCTCCCACCTCAATTTGCCCCCTTCAATGTCCCGAGCCCCTCATTCTCTTGAAACCCTAACCCCATCTCGCCAAATTGACCGCATGATCAATATTAATCACCATTTGTCGCCTTCCAGAGCTATCTACTCCGATAGGTTCATTCCCAGTAGATCTGGTTCCAATTTTGCCTTCTTTGATATTTCCCCTGTCTCCAATTCCCACTCCGATGCTCGGGAAGATACTTCCTCTGCCTACGTTACCCTTCTTCGCACCGCTTTGTTTGGCCCTGATGCTGGAGTAGTTCCTCCTGCTACTCCCGAGAAGAGAACCTCCCCAATGTCCCTTCCCAATCATAATATTTTTCGCTACAAGACGGAGACCAGGAGGTCAATGCACTCCCTCTCGCCTTTTGGCTTTGATAATGCAGCTCCTGGGATTAATCCTAGTCCGGTTAAGACTCCACGGAAGGTTCCTCGATCGCCTTATAAGGTGATTTTTGTTTTTCTTTAACGCGGATTTGGGGTTGATTGGTCTTTGGATTTTATGACGTGTTTCTTTCTTTCTTCTCCTTCTCTGCATTCTTAGGTCTTGGATGCACCTGCTTTGCAAGATGATTTTTATCTGAATCTTGTGGATTGGTCTTCGCATAATGTCCTGGCTGTTGGGTTGGGTAATTGTGTTTATCTCTGGAATGCTTGTAGTAGCAAGGTAACCCTCTGCCTGCCCTTTGATTTCTGTTTCCTATTCGTGGATTGACCGATCTGTGATATCTTTCATTACAAGTATAAGATAGTTTTAGATTCTTAGAATTAATCTAAATGAACTATATTTTATGCATGTAATGGATGTTTAGTTATTAAGCAGCAGTATTTTTGCAGGTCACCAAGTTATGTGACTTGGGAATTGATGACAGTGTGTGTTCAGTAGGCTGGGCACAGCGTGGAACTCATCTTGCTGTTGGCACTAGCAATGGGAAAGTACAGGTTAGTGATGATGAGTTAACTCTATGCATGTTCTTGCATGGGAACTTCAATTTGTTCTTTTGTTCTTTCAGCTCTTGTGGAAGTTTAATATTTGAGAATTGCATAACTGAGATTCCGATGGATATGATTATGTGCCTGCTTTCAGTGTTGATTAACCCGTTCATCTCTCTAGATTTGGGATGCATCACGCTGTAAAAGGATCAGGACCATGGAGGGCCATCGATTACGAATTGGGGCCTTAGCTTGGAGCTCATCTCTTTTATCATCTGGTAGCCGGGACAAGAGCATTCTTCAGAGAGATATTCGGGCTCAGGATGATTTTGTGTCTAAACTTTCTGGCCATAAATCAGAGGTGATGCTTACAGACATGTTATTTCTTCCTGGCTCCCACTAAACTTCAGGATCATTTGAAAGGCTTCATCTATTTAAATCATTTTAGTATTGCCATATTATCATTGGATCTTCTTAGGGTCAGTATACTCTGTCTCTTGTTTTTCTTTTACCGGTTTCTTAGCCAGAGAGTGCAACTGTTGTATTGTAGGTTTGTGGATTGAAATGGTCATACGACAACCGTGAATTAGCATCAGGAGGGAATGATAACAGAGTACGATATACTGTTTTCTTCCATCTTGCATCTCAGCTTGTTTGTCCTTCTTCCATGATGATTGATATTTGTTGTGATCTGCTTTCAGTTATTTGTTTGGAATCAACATTCAACCCAACCAGTACTTAAATTTTATGAGCACACAGCTGCTGTAAAAGCTATAGCATGGTCTCCTCATCTTCATGGACTACTTGCATCAGGAGGTGGAACCGCAGATCGATGTATTCGTTTTTGGAACACCACCACTAATACACACTTGAGCTGCATGGATACTGGAAGTCAGGTAATTGATGTCTATTTCCTTTCTTTTGTAACATATTTTCCATGTTTTGTTCTGTGATTCAAGCTTGGTTAGATGGAATGCGCCAACCTCCAGCTAAAGTAATTCTAGAATTGTTTGTTCAAGATGGAGATCAAATGCCGGCATGATTAATTTTTCTTGATTACTGACTTTTTGCTAATATTTGATCATAATAAGGGAGACCTTTTGGAGTTAAAAAAAAAAAAAAAAAAAAAAAAAAAAAAAGGTTGGTTGGACGCCCTTGAATTTCTATTATTCCCAACCTGGTATATGCTGTTTGGTTTCATCAAAATAATTCAATTTGAGGTAGTTGCTGACGTGTCTGCTATCAAGACTTGTCTTAATCTCCTTATACCCATTTGATTCTGAAGTTTGGATTTATGATTGAAGAACCTAGATGAGATATATGTTATCTGGGGAATAATTGTTGATTGGCCTTACTTCATTATCAAAATTTGAGATAAACCATTTTCGTTTCATGTGACAGGTATGCAATCTGGCATGGTCTAAGAATGTTAATGAACTTGTTAGTACTCATGGATTCTCCCAAAACCAAATAATAGTCTGGAGATATCCAACTATGTCCAAGGTCCGTTGGGCTTGTCCCTTTTCCTCTGTAGACAGTAGTCATATTGTGTTGTCTCATAGTCTAACTTTAGTTTATGCCCTTGTGCAGTTGGCAACACTGACTGGCCATACATTCAGAGTTCTTTATCTTGCTATATCCCCTGATGGACAGGTAGCTTATTGACTCACTTCCTTTCCTGATCTCATATGGATGATTTACTTGTTTTTTTTTTTTTTTTTATCGAATTCTTTTCCCTTGCAGACCATTGTAACAGGAGCTGGTGATGAAACTCTAAGATTTTGGAATGTCTTCCCCTCGCCAAAATCTCAGGTAAAGAAATTATCCTGTCCATTGGCATATGATGTGAAATTACATGTGATATCTTGTATCCCTTGAATGTAGTCTTTTCATTGACATCGCTTTCTGAATCAGATCAAGATAAGTTTATAGTTAGACAAAATCAAGAGCTGCTATTGAGCTGTCTTGAACGTTTTCAGCATTTTAAATGATATCTTCGCACATGTTTGTCTGACATGTTGTTCTTGGGATCCTTATGGAAAGGAATTCTCTTCTTTTCCATTTCATTGTCAACTCAATCTCACATATGGGTTTAAATTATACTGCAGAACACAGAGAATGAAATCGGAGCGTCCTTCCTTGGACGAACCACAATTCGTTAACGGTCGAGGAATCGTTCGGTCAGCACTTATAACACATACCCTTCAAATTTCTTGCACCATCTTTTTTTGAGGAATAAAGACAAGGATTTTGTCACACTGGTTTAAAAAGATTCAAAGTGAAGAACTTAACCAAATCTGGTCTGCAATAGCCAGAAATCAAAGCTACATGAGATCTGAGAAAGCTATAGATGAAAAAGGAAGTAATGGATTTTGCAAGAGTGTTACAGGGGAGGAGATGGTCTGAAATCTCCCTTGTTATCTTCCCCCACTTCAATACAAAAAAAAAAAAATATATATATATATATATATATATATATATATATATATATATATATATA